ATTGAATGGAAAGATAATGTTTCCAAGCATCCTCGATGCACGGGAAAACGACTTTCCCGCATCGCGGTGTTTTTTTAGTTTCCGCTGGAGAGAAGGGGTTATGCGCGTTCTTCGGTTGGTAGTACTTATTGAAGTCAACGAACGTCATGTCATGGTTAACTGTCATCTGCTGTAAAATCAATTAAACCGTTGGTTGAGGGTATTTAGTGCGATTAGTCGGAAACAGACGTACACTAAGTTTTACGTAAATATATAAACAAGAACTTATAACGCAATCAAATTATTTTTCAGAATTGTAACTCAAGAAAAAGTTAAATTTATTGTTAAAACGTCTTAAAATGTGACCAGTGATATCTGCAACTATTCGCATATGCAGTTTAAGAAAGCACATATTAACACACACAAAGCTTCCAAGGATTTTAAATGTAACGAGTGTATTTACGCAACTCAAGATAAATCAAATTTGAGAACACATTTCTTCACACATGTCTTCTGGGAATATTAAATACGATCGGTACACTTACGCGACCAATAAGAGCACTCTTTTCAAAGCATATTTCTTAACATTGAAGACTTCCAAGGATATTTAGTGCAAACGATGCAATGCCGTGACCAGTAGTAGCACTCATTGCAAAGGCAAAAAATGTATTAACCAAAGATGTGGAAGTTTTAAATGTGACCAGTGCAATGGTAGTTACAAAATTATGTTACCAACCAAACATATGATTGTGTTACCAACTCATGATTAAAAAAAACTAATTTACAAAACTTTATTAATTTTGACCTTTTTTTACGCAATTCGTTACAAAAAATATTGTACCTAACTCTTTCGGAAAGAATTTTCCCGCATTCGCACTAAATGCAGCACTCCCTGCGGTCGTGCTGCAAACAAAGTGCTCATGCGGGAAAATTAACTTACCGAACTTGTTAGGTAAATAACTATTTTGTACTCATTGAATGGAAAGATAATGTTTCCAAGCATCCTCGATGCACGGGAAAACGACTTTCCCGCATCGCGGTGTTTTTTAGTTTCCGCTGGAGAGAAGGGGTTATGCGCGTTCTTCGGTTGGTAGTACTTATTGAAGTCAACGAACGTCATGTCATGGTTAACTGTCATCTGCTGTAAAATCAATTAAACCGTTGGTTGAGGGTATTTAGTGCGATTAATCGGAAACAGACGTACACTAAGTTTTACGTAAATATAAACAAGAACTTATAACGCAATCAAATTATTTTTCAGAAGTGGAACTCAAGAAAAAGTAAAATTTATTGTTAAAACGTCTTAAAATGTGACCAGTGATATTCCGCAACTATTGGCATATGCAGCTTAAGAAAGCACATATTAACACACACAAAGCTTCCAAGGATTATAAATGTAACGAGTGTATTTACGCAACTCAAGATAAATCAAATTTGAGATCACATTTGTTCACACGTCTTCTGGGAATATTAAATACGATCAGTACACTTACGCGACCAATAAAAGCACTCTTTTCAAAGTATATTTGTACTGAAGACTTCCAAGGATATGCAGTGCAAACGATGCAATTCCGTGACCAGTAGTAGCACTCATTGCAAAGGCAAAATATGTATTAACCAAAGATCTGAAAGTTTTAAATGTGACCAGTGCGATGAAAAGTGGGTAGTTACAAAACTATGTTACCAACCAAACATATTATTGTGTTACCAACTCATGATTAAAAAAAAACTAATTTACAAAACTTTATTAATTTTGACCTTTTTTACGCAATTCGTTACAAAAAATATTGTACCTAACTCTTTCGGAAAGAATTTTCCCGCATTCGCACTAAATGCAGCACTCCCTACGGTCGTGCTGCAAACAAAGTGCTCATGCGGAAAAATTAACTTACCGAACTTGTTAGGTAAATAACTATTTCCTCAGTGAACCGCATTTTACAAAAAAATTAATGCCAGGCGTCATAAACTGATATTGATTTCGATGTTTGAATGTGCTTTTTGTCTTAGTCATGGTTTAACATGATTTTGGTAAGTGGATTTCTCGAGTTTTTGATAATATAGTGAGAAATACACCTGAAAATGAACTAATTCGTATATCATTAGACGAGGAAAAAATCTTCTTTCGATTGGTGTCATGATCAACCCTCTAAGTTAACATGGGGAGCAACTATCTACAAAAACCCCTTTTCCCATGTTAATTCCCTATGTTCGTTTTGGGAATATTCACTCGGTATAAATATTAAAGGTTCGGTAGTAAATTAGGTATATCCGAAAGTATACAATATTCTTACCCTTTGTTTGAGCAATCTCCCATACATTTTTGGCATGCAGGGGAACATGGCAATCCGTCTCGCCGGCAGCTGCACCGAAGGGTCTCGCCAGCCACACCTGTTCAGAGCACGGACTGCCTTCCATACTTGTGGCAGCTTGGACTACAGAACCTTCCTGCCTTTGGCTTCAAGTGTCCATCCCCATCCTTCTGGACTTGTAGAGCTTCTCATCACCTGGTTTGCACATCCCCAGATATGGCCAGCGACATACGCCGCCCTCCTTATGTGCTCCTCCAACTCGTGCTGCGGCGACACGGATTACCATGTTCCCCTGCATGCCAAAAATGTATGGGAGATTGCTCAAACAAAGGGTAAGAATATTGCATACTCTCGGATGTACCTAATTTACTACCGAACCTTTAATATTTATATGTAAAATTCCTTTTCAGTGGCAATAACGCAATCTCAGAGGAGGTCAGCGATGTACTTGGTGATTCTTCATAGGCTTATACATTTTTTACCCCATGTTTTAATATATCTTATGTTTTGTTAATGGGTATTTTTATTAAATAAAATAATATAAGTTTATATATTAAAACTTTGGAATATCTTGGGTTTCACCGCGCGCGATGTCTTCAAAAAGTGCAGTAGGGAAGCCTCTCATGCAGTTCCGATGCCAGTAGGTTATATTTGTTATCATAAATGAATTCCCTGACCCCAAAAACATAAGTCTAGACACCTTACACGACCCGGTGTGCCTTAAAAATATAATTCGATCAAAAGTCTGTCATTTTCTAAAAATAGCGGCTTTTCACGCACTTCCGGTATCCGGATTACATTTCTGGCGCTACCATTGGATTCCTGGGGTTAAAATCATACGAAATCGACACCCAGATCTCGTCTCTAGGCCATATTTAGTTTTTAAAAAAATATTACAATAAATCACCCCCACCCCCTCTAAAATCTACCCACACGGCAAATGTCAAGTGTTCTTCGGGTCAAATCGTTTAAATGGCTCTAAGGAACAACTGTACCAAGTGGCACCTTGGTATAAAAAAATGCAGTATCTTTCAAGAATTTCCGTTATACCGCTAGTACTATTTGTACTTTTCAACTATACAGTCTTTATAACTAGGTACAAAAGCTGGTATCAGTGAAGAAGAGCACCTACGCGAGACGTTGTTATAAGGTAGCCGAAGCTGCGGCCGCCGTAGTGCAATATTCGCTCCCCACAAAGTCAAGAAAGAGGTACGACAAGGCGTATAAACCTTTGAATGACTGGCGTAAAACTAAAGAAATAATCACTTCCACACATATTCCATTAATTGTTAGTAATTAAAAAACCATTATCCTTTGTGTAGGTATATTAATATTTAAAAATATCCACATAGTCTGCATTATA